GGCCAATGCTCAAACCACTGAGCTATCCTCACCCCCCCCCCTTCCTGCTGCCGCCTCAAGATGTTTAAAAAAGCCTTTTGGGAATTTATTTTTTGTCTACATTTGTGACCTTTAGAAACAGTCTGCTGTCCCCTGTTCCTACTGGAGGTCTCCTTGGAGGAGCAGAGACTTGGGCGGGCGGGGGAGGGGGGTAAGGCTTCTGCCTGCTGATGAGGGAGGGCATGCGGGGGCCTTGCACAGGCCTCTTCTAACTTGAGTGTCTGGCAAAGTCTTGGGTTCTGCACCAATCCCTTCTTATCCAAAGGGCTGCGGCTCTTGCTCTCTGATGTCACAATTCTGCTAGACCCCAAGCCCTTCCCAATCCTCCAGCTCAGGCTGGCTAACCCCTTGCACCACTGGGGCTCCGTTTCTATTTTTAGCACACTGGCTTGATCAGCGCTAGCACGGGTATGTCTACACAAGCCGGAAATTACACCTCCCTTTTCCAGTGTAAACGTCCCCCAAATCATGGGGATACTTCCTTTCGTCTACCCGCTGTATATATGGGGAGGGGAATTACTGACCTTGTGCATATGTAGTGGTGTTTGTAAGACAAGGTATAATAATCACACTTCCAAATTGCAATGAACTGTGGAAACGTTCCTGTTTGGTGTGAGAGATGTTACTTATACCTAGATGCACTCCCCTTCCCCATCCCAGCCCTACGCATGCTGGCTTGGGAATATCACTGCTGTAGTGTCAGCTTTTAAGACACTTTTCACATGCACCACTTCGAGTATTACGTTAAGTGAAAACAAGCTACAGTACATTGGGACATTAATACTCTATTACAGTGTTTACATTCGCATATTAAAAGCAATAACACTTAACAGACCAGCATATCCAGGACATTACTAGCACACTTCCCCCCACCGATACCTAGTAGTTGCGCTGTCATCTCTCATAGCTACTTACGTCGCAGCTTTTTTTGTTAAAACTAAATTGGGAAGAAAGACGACTGATTCAGAACTTGTTTGATGGTTACGTTATCGCTAAAGGGGGTAGTGGGGTGCAGGCTTGGAGGGAAGAAGATTTCTCTGATGTAGGCAAGATCAGGTGTTTTATCCAAAACCAGAATGTGAACGGTGCTGGTTTTCTTGGTGGCTGATGGTGAATTATTGTCAGAAGTTCGAGGATGTACTCTTCTCCTTCCTCACGCTTTGGTTGAGGATTCCATTGCTAAAGGGATTGGCCTCAAATACCTGGTTGTAGGACTCGTCCATGGTGTAGTTTTCACCTTGGGTGGCCCGGTCCTAATTATATTAAAGCCTGTACTTTAGTCTCTGTAATTATCGGTTCTAACTCTGTAGCTGTTTATGAAGGCAGGAGTAAAATAAAAGTCACTGCAATCGTTCCACAGTTAACTACAACGGAAAATTTACATAATTTAAACCAGACTCCTAGTCTTAATTTTTGCTTAATAAATAAGTCCATAAGAAAACTCTGTTGGGAAACGGCTACAGTTTACGTAGAATGTGCACTTCTCCTCTATGGGTCATAAGGATCCTACCTGGCTGAATACTGGCTGCTCTTCCTTTCTTTGATCTGCAGAGTGACGGATGCTGTTCAGATATCAGCTGTGGGGACAGGAGGGTTTCATTGCATCTTCTCTTGGCCCCAGCTACTGTTCTCCCTCCTTGTTGCACTGATAGTGGGTGGGTGTGTCTCGCCTTTTTTTAAAAATCATATATGCTAGGGGCTGTCTCCTCCTCTTCTCCTCTCCTGATGTCGGTGTAGATGCAGGCAGTGC